AGAGTCACCTCTCAGTCACAGATCCAGGGGCAGTGGAGTGCACAGCACTACTAAGGAGAAATAGCTTTGTTCTGTATCTTCTACATCAGTGACTGCTTCAACTACAGTGTTCTTAACTAATCTGGAGCTGTACTGTCTCTGTCCCGTGTTTCTCTCACCAAAATCACTCTCCCACAGCTTTCTTCCTAAAATGGGGAGTTTGCAGGGAGAAATGGCAGAGTGCATCACATTCATGTGAAGATGTACACAGTAGCCTCTTTTACAAGGCAAATTTTTAGTTCTGATTTGGAGTTGCTTCTCCCAGAACCCCCATTTTTAATTAAAATAGAATTCTTATTTTCTTAAAAAAAAAGAAAGGGAAAAAGATAAAACAATCAATAGAGTGCATAATGAAATTCTCAAGCCTCAGGGATCAATTCCAAACTAGAGCTGTCAGCACATTTTTCTAATAAGATCAAACAAACATGCATGGATTTAATGAGATAGGAAAAGCTGTTGTCCTTACCAGACTGCTTAGCCACTGGCTTCGTTTGACATCAGCCAGAGCTCAGGAAGAGGCTCAAAATATTACAGCTACACCAGAGGAATAACACCCTCGCTTGTCTCACAGCAGAAATTACTAGATGAGGAAAATTCTTTATAAACTGAACAGCTGCAGCTGTTTTGAGTTCTAGGATATTCAGCTGATGTTAGAGTGGACACACACATCCCAGCAGAGACTTTACTTTGCTAATGACTTCTTTTAATAACTTAGTTTAAAATGAAATTGAGTCTCCCTAGAAGATATTTTAGCTTTTCCTATATTCTATCTGCCTTAATCATGTGAATACTTGTACTGAATTAAGTAGGTAACTAGTTGAAACCCTGAAAATGATATGGTTGATCTTTTTAATAAAATACTTTTAAGGAGTTAAAAATTACTAAATTTACTTTTAACAAGTTACAGATTACAAGTATCGAGTGGAGTTACTAGCTAATCTCTTCCACAATAGGACAGCCATACATACTCACAATTCATTCTAATACATTCTGACTCAGTATGGCAATAATAAAATGTAAATAGAGTTCTGAGAGATTTTTCATCAACAATTTCATTGGAAATTATGTATAAATAATGTGTGCTTCTATTTGCTTTAAAATTTGCACCATTTTACATAAAGAAACGCTTGCATGGTTTCTCTAATCTACAACCAGATCATTTTTCAGTATTCACTAACTTTATTCCCATCCCATTTCCTAGTTTGGGCACAAGGTCACAGAAATGTTCCATTGGGTTATCTGTTTTTTCAAATTTTCATGACAAAGACTTATCACAGCTGGCAGAGAAATCCCTTTTCTCTCAGCCTCTTTCTACTGCTTGTCAGTATGAGGTACTAGCTGGGGCTTCAAGCAAGTCAAAAGTCAGGCTTTTGACACACAGGGTACATTTTCTAAACATGAACTTCCACTGTGGCTACAAGTGACAAATACACATCAGAAGAGTGTTGAATGAAACTAGATGAGTCAGACATGAATTAATGTTACCTAGCTATGGTAAAGACACAGATTGTGACAGATGTATTTTGCACTAATTAAGCTGACTTGCTACGGTGCAGTTTATCACAGGATTCAGGCTTTTTGTGTGGCTGCACACAATTTTTCAAAAATCATATAATAATTTTTGTGACTATAAATTAACAGAGTCTCCTGCAAACTAAAGAGTATAGTTTATCATCTGGACCAAAAACTCAAGCTTGTTAGAAATACATCTAGCATTTTCCCAACATGCCTCTATCATGAAGGCAAAACTTAAGCTGGGACAAGCAAAAAATGATAATACCATTCCTGTAGCATCACCTGCCTCAGTACCCAACCAAAACTTCACTGTGTGAAAAAGTTTCTTTGCACTTTGTGAAATAAGTGCTTCATTTCCTAACATTCATGTTTTTACAACAGTAACAGATTTTAAAACAAAAAATAATTATTATTGTTAAATCCAGCAGACCATATGAACAATATTTCACTATTTTCCCACAGTAAGAGGATGCTATAAACATTCCTCCTCACTCAAGAAACCTACCTGGCAATAGAAATATGATCTAAGCAGCTTTGTGGCATTGTTTACTAATTAACTACTTTTATTCAATATAGCTTAGTCTCCTAAACTGTTCATCTGGATGGATGCAAATGTTCATATCCATATTTCACAGAATCACAGAATATGCTGAGTTGGAAGGGACCCACAAGGATCATCCAGTACAACCCTTAGCCCTGCACAGGACCATCCCCAAGAGTCACATCCTGTGCCCAAGAGTATTGTCCAAATGCTTCTTGAACTCTGTCAGGCTTGGTGCTGTGACCACTTCCCAGGGGAGCCTGTTCCTGTGCCCAACCACCCTCTGGGTGAGGAACCTTTCTCTAATATCCAGCCTAAACCTCCCCTGACACAACTTCAGACCATTCCCTCAGGTCCTATCACTGGTCACCACAGAGAAGAGATCAGTGCCTGTCCCTCCTCTGCCCCTCATGAGAAAGTTGTAGACTGCAATGAGGTCTCCCCTCAATCTCCTCCAGACAAACCAGCCAAAGAATTTCAGGAAGACTGTGACATCTTCAAAGTGGAAGCTGGTTTCTTCAACATACATTAAACATATTGCCTTATACAGGTAACAGTTCACGAAGTATGTGCATGCTCTCTCTGCGTCTGAACACCACTGGGATTGTACCAGACATCTGGTCTGCTCCCTCTACTCAATGTCTGCGTAAAAGAAGCATTCATTACAATGTCCTCCAAACACTGGGAAATCATAATTCAGAATTCCCAATACACTGAGATTGGCTTATACACTATATTGCTTTTAGAAGTAAAAAACTGGGAACTGTTCTGCATTTCTTTTAAGGCTGTGAGCCTCTAGTGTTGCCATCTTTCCACCACAGACAAAATCACTAAGAGTTTACTTTTCTGGAAAAAAAAAAATCAGAGTTTTACATGTTCTATTGTAACTGTAGAAGACAGACAATCCTTTCCCTGTTTATCCATAACGATGTTACCTCTCATGTTCATGCTTGGCATTAGAGTTTAGATATTTCTCCACTATTTTGTATCTTCCTCTGGAATTTCTTGTTTCGTTAGAATTAATAGCATTAATTTTTTAAACCTACTGAAGTACATGTTGTGAAGTGCAGGTTTAACACTGGCTTTTAAGTGGCAGTGTATCCACCTATTTTTCAGTCCTAAAAAATATTGCTTATATCCTCTTGCAGATGTCCAGGTTGTCTGAAACCTGGACAACCTCAACCTAAATGAAGTTTTCCTAAGGTGGATCTCATATCCTCCTTTCAGTGAGCTTCTGCACTGGCACAAAAGTCCAACAAAACAGATTGGCTTGAACTTAGGAGCCTAAATAAACAAGTAAAAATGTACTTAAGACATACCTATCCAAAGTGTATTTTTTCACTTAATACTTTAGAAAGAAAATATGAATGATTTTTGAGAGAAACAAGCAATTCTTTCTCTTGAATACATTTCCTTGACAAAATAGCTTTAAAGATTATTTTTATATAGAGCTAGCAAGGACTTCAATTTTAGCAAACTATGAGCAAAAGTAAGTGTTCAGTCTCCAATGCCTTTTTATGGATAACTGTGCTGACAAATTCAGATAAAAATGGAACATGTAAATAATAAAAACATGCTTTATGAACTTCTGTGAGCTTTTCATCATTTTTCAGATGAACACAGATATTTTATTGCTTTAATGTTCAATTTTTAGTTAAGCATCAGCTCTATACTATTTCTATTGCCATTCCATTGCCAGGGCCATACTTAGATTAGATATCACTTTATTGTTCTTTTATAGGATTTCCACTGAAAATTTATATAACTTTTTTCCTTCAAAAACAAATCCTTTGTATGCAGAAGAGAACCTATGTTCCTGACCCCTGTACAGAGGTAGTGTGTGATATAATCAAAAGGTATTTTTAAGATATTATTAGTGTCCGCTAAAATTCTTTCTGCTATAATATGAATAATTAGATATGAAAGTACATAATTTCAGTCTTGATCAAGACACCTGATGTTCTGGTTGAAATTATGTGAAATACACTTGAAATGAAGAGCGGGTTTATATATTTAACTATTAAATGTACTACACTGAGAAGTGTGAAGTCTCCAATTCCCTTCTATACTTATGCCCACCATATGTCTTATCTCAAGACATCAATGCTGCATAGCGACCAACATAACAAATACATAAAAATTCCCATAATAGTACTATTATTGCATTTTTCAAGGTCAGCCGCTTCTATAGAGTGGATTTATAGACACTTTTGATATATATCAGAAGGAGGTATATATTTGATATATACCAGCAGCAGGGAGCAGCAGCCCAGTATGTATTTGTCAGGAAGCAGCTGAAGCCAGCCGCAGTGACACCTTGTCTGGCCGAGGTTTGGGGTCGGACTCGTGGCACCAGCAGCTGAGCAATGCCGCCGTAACCCTCATCTTGGTCACTGGCCCAAGAAACTTGGTGGGGACCAGCTTGCAAATCTACCAGCAGTTGCCCCCATACAACGGGTGGGCCAGTGCACACGGTAACTGATCCAGGATACCACTAACTCTGTGGTTTTTCTCCAAATCCTTTATTAAAACTTCACAGAATCACAGAATCAATTAGGTTGTAAAAGACCTCTCAGATCATCCAGCCCAACCTTGCCACCTTGCCAACTAGACTTGAATGCCACGTCCAGTCTTTCCTTAAACACCTGCAGGGATGGTGACTCCACCACCTCCAGGGGCTGTCCATTCCAATGTCTAATCACCCCGTGAAGACATTCTTCCTAATGTCCAACCTAAACCTTCCCCGGCTCCTCATGCCCGTTCCTGCTAAACATCCTCGGACCCGGCTAGCTGGAGTTTGACTGTCTTGCTAGGGGCTGTCTTGCTCGGGGGCGAAACGCCGCCCCTCCTCGGATCCCTGGCATGGTGCGGGCACAGGAGGAAAAGCAACCACGGCCCTACCTACCGAACCCCGCTTCCCAGGGCGCTGTTACCGCTGTTCCCCGCTCGGGCCAGCCGGGGCTTGGGAGGGCAAACCGCTGTTCCCCGGGGTGCTGAAGGGCAAACCGCTGTTCCCCGGGGTGCTGAAGGGCAAACCGCAGTTCCCCGTGCTGGAGGCCAAACCGGCCTGGGGAGCAGCGACGGCTCGTGCTCCCGGCTCCCGCGGGGCGCCTCACCCCCACCGCCAGGGCACGGTGGCGTGTGGCTCCCGGATCACACCGACGAGGGAAGCCGCACTCCCGCTACCCCCGGCCTAAACCACGCAGCGCTGCCCCGCGCCTCCCGTGCCCCGCAGCGGGCCGGCGCCCTCACCTCCGCAGGCGCGCCTTGCGCCGGCCTCCTGCTCCGCCGCCATGTCCGCGGGCGTCGGCGGCCTGCGCGCAGCGCCCCGGCAGCTGCCGCAGCGCCGCCGGACTCCGGGCTCGGGAGAGGCCCCGCCGTGGGCGGGGGGCCGGCGCGGGAGGTGCCCCCGGGCAGAGAGGCCACGTCCCGATGTACCAGAAATAGTGCGGCCAGACGACCAGGGAAGTGTTTGTCCCTCTGTACTCGGCACTGCTGAGGCCGCACCGCAAGTGCTGCGTCCGCATCTCAAGTGCTGTCCAGTTCTGGGCGCCATTGAGATAAACATCCATGTCTCTCCGTGTCTCCTTTTCTGCTATGCATACACAGTGAACCAATCTGATGTTAGCTAGTCAAATAGGAATTTGTTGTGACAGTCCTGGGGTTCTTTACATACACACAGTGCCCTTGAGATAGTAACTAGATGTTAAAGAACAGAGCTCTCAAACTATGATGAACATGATTTAAATCCATTGACGCTTCTCCTGAAGGAACCAGCAAGCAGATCAACTACAAAGTGCCCCCGTGTGACATGGTGGACAGCAATGTCAGTACAGGAAATATGGGACAAATACATGGGAAATGGATCTGGACATGGGACATTTACGTGCTTGATGTGCTTTTTTTGTCTTTTTCAGTGCAAGTGAGCATTCCAAAGGAAAATACAGTCATTCTCAGATCATTTTCCTTAGAGGTATAAGCTAATTCGGAGCCACGGACTACATCTATGATATAAAGAAGATTATTTATTCCTATTCCATTCCTTTGCAGTGATCTACAGTTAATTTTCCTATCCAATTTGCTTGCACAGTCATTCAGTATCACAAGATTCTTTGCAGACACCTTTCAGTTTGACTGTTTGAACCATAAAGGCAAACATTATTATCTTGCTATTCCCACTCTGACACACATTTTCAATAGTGCACATAGTCAGGCCATTCTACAAGTCCCCTTTACCTTTAGAAAAGGTGACTGTTTTAACATTCTGGAAGTTTCAAAGAAGAGAAAGAAAATTAGGACTGCCATATATTTACATCCTGAGTAGGAAGATTATGTTAATGAGTAACTCACTGTTAGTGAACATGTGGCTTTCTTGAGTACAGTATATGTTCTAGCACTTTTAAAATCAGCTGTGAACATTACTGAGTTTAGAATAAAATTAGTGCTTGAGGGGAGAATAGTTTTTTTGTGGGTGAATTTGAAGTATATTGTTTCTGATTACTTTATGGCATGTACTTATAAAAGTTTTTTATCAGTATTTTGTACCATTTTATCATGTTTGTGACTTCCTTTTTTTATGGTACTAATATAATTGTAAATTGAGTAATTTTTCAGGTGGGAAGACAAATCCTAATGCAGTACACAAAAATACCATGTATCAAATATAGCAAGAAAATATAACACTGCAGTGAATTAAAACACAGAGATTATGATGACTGTAATAACCTGAAGTGAATAAAAATCCAGAGATTTAACATTAAACTGCTATCAACCTGAACTTAAGGCCAGATTCTGATCGCCTGCTTTACGTGCCTAAGTCTGATTTACTGACTCTACGCCAGAGGTGTCCAGTTCAGCAAGCAGATTTTGGGCATCAAAAATGTTCCCTGATGTTCCCTGATGTTCCCTGTATAGCCAGAATAAAGCAATGGAGCAGGGCAGTCAGGTCTGGAAGATTTCAACTGCCTGAATGAGCTGCTAACTTTGCTATTGTCTGTCTACAGAACAATAGCAGAAAATTAATAGTAGAAAATTAAACATGCCAACAAAAAAAATGGGGCTTTTGCGAGTGAACTGCCTCCTGGGAGTGATTCTTGGAGCATTTTGACTCCCAAGCTCTGCCTGGGAATCATTTGAGGAAGAACTTGGAGTTGGGCCCTGTTAGACCATGTCTGGGGAGCTATTCAGTGATCCTGCACACCATCCAACTTGTTGGAGAAGCACCATCTTTTCATGGAAGTAAAAAGAAGTATATGAAGAAAAAAGGATTAAATGCTGTTTTGAAGCAAGTCTAGGGAAATATTCTGTCAGCATCAAATACACATTTTTTGTAATATATTGTATTATTCTACATAATATTTAGCTTTGAAATATTTCCCTTTCATTTGAAATGAATTGATAAAACACTCCAAATGTGGGATTTAAGTTAGCTTTAGTCTGAGAATCTAGAAAGATCACTTTTAAAATGATTTCTCAATTATGTCTGAAGAGAAGTTTTTTCTCAGGACTCTATTTGAAATAGAAATTGGTATAATGCATTACAGAAATGTGGAGAAATTGAGAGATTTTCAGATTGATTATTGGACTACTTCCTAAAAAAAAAAAAAAAATTAAAAATCACTGAATCCCTGTAGGCTGAATATTCCCCAGCTAAATATTTCCCAAATAAAAATTAATCATCAGTGTTCTCTCTACAGTTCTATTATGTGCTCTTCCTGAAGAACTGGGGAGGGTCAGAGAGACTGTATGTCCAACTTTGTTGAAATCAAATTTTAAGGTCAGGTATTTTAGAGGTTAATAACTATCAAAATTAGAAATTTGTTTCTATTAAAAATCTTTTGCTGTGATGAGCTTTAATGTAACAGTTACCCATATGACCAAATAAATTATTATTCACACTTTCTTGTTATTTAGCTTTTCATTATTATATTGTTATGAATTTCAACATCTCCAGTACATGCAGGTGTAGGATTCTATAATTAACAATATAGCAATTATGAAGTAAATATAAACTCTTTTTTAAATACATAAAAATAACGTCTAATAGCTGGAAAATGTTTTTAAGTTTCTTTCAATTGCAGGTTAAAAGAACATGCCTCTGCATTTCCATGTATTCATTGTTGACAAAATGTCTCCATTAGTTCTTTTTTCATTTGAAAAAGCGTTGATTCAAACATTTTGTTACAACATTCAAGATTAAGTGATCACATCTGTTGAGTAGCTTTTGAAGGATGTAGTATAGATTTAGGTAATTAGCTAGAAGCTCTTTTTTTCCCATTAACTGGTAGGCAGAGTACTGTTTCCAAAGTGAATAAGTAGACTTATCAGACCTAAAAGTTACAAATTATGTTATCAAAGTTCAAGCCACTTGATTGTAGCACACATGTAACATTCTCAAATACTACCAATGCAGTTTCCTTGCTGTCTAAAATAATCAAGCAGATAATGGATTTCACATTTCACAGTAATGGAAAACTGTCAGGAACATTTTGAGGCATTAATGGCTGTAGGCTTAATATGACCTTTAACTGTTTTCATCTGAAGGAGAAACATGTAGCTTTTGCCCTGAGCAGTTCCATCTTTGGAATGAATCTTGCAAACAATAGCAGTTAATTTGGTGATGCGCTGATGTGGTTTATGTGAATGTCTATACGGAATGGATTTATTTGGGTGCTTCTGCAGAAGCTGTCTTTGAATTTATTCACAACAAAAAAAGGTTTCACTTTTGCTACTCAGATCTTATTATGCTAGATTATTATTTTTATTATCTGGTATGATGCAAACGATCTTGTATATGACAGTCCTTTGCAAACGAGAAACAATTTCTGCATCTACTACAGAAAGAATTGTGGCAGCTATTGCAGTTTGTACTGATCTGTGCAAATAATTTTCTTACTTGTTCTCACCTCTGTGGCGTAAAGTAGGCTGCAGTCCAGATCTTTTGTTCCTGAAGGTCAGTACCTAATGTGAAGTTTCTTAAATGTTAAAAATGGTCATTGTTTTTGCTCTTCTTTTCTGTACCAGTTGGTTACATCATCTGTTAATGATGAACATTAAATGCTTATAAAACTATAAAGGGGTAATTTCTAAACAATGATTTGTGTGACTCAAAGACAGCGATGACAAACAAAGTATTTTAAATGCTTTATTGGTAATGAAAATATTCCTCAAAGGCGTGGATCCACTTAAAACTTGCTTAGCTCCATAAAGAAGGAAACAAAGCTCCTCACTTTCTTCCTGCTTGTTCAGTAGGTGGAATATTTACCTGATGTCTATGACAAATTATTTGTCAATAGAATTGCCTTATTAAAGTTTAGGGCTTGACATGCTTCAAAGACCACAGACCTAGAGGGGTAACAAAATTTGGGAGGAAGGGTGTGCTACTGCAGGAAGTCCAAGATAAGAAGAAACTAACAAAGCCAGCTCAGCACAGCTCAGTAATAATAGAATAGTAAATACTGAAGACCATCAGGTCACCCAAGATAAGAAGCCAGCTCAGCAATAGTAGACTAGTAAACACTGAATATATATAAGTGGAATATATCAAGATTAACAGTATATAAATAGTGGTCATCTTTTCTCCTTGGTGTGCTAACTTTGTGGCTTTGCCACCTAGCACCCATTTGCACAAATATAAAATAAACAAATACATCAGCTCTGTGTGTGATTGGCTTACTGCACACCGGGTGATGAACCCTGATTTTTGGTACAACATACGCACTAAGTAAGAAGTTAAAATTATGTCACCAGAAGTAGCAACATCCTCTTAAATACTGCTTTATGTTCTTGTGAAATAGAAGACAAGAATAGAGAAGAACTTTAAGAAATAAAAGCATGTAGAATTTATAAAAAAATTAGACAAATAATACTTTAGAAACCCTGACCTTGAATTATAAAATACAGTAGTGTTACACTCAAAGCATGTATTAGAATTAGAATGACTCATAAAAAAGTGTACTCTGCACCTTGCATTTTTCCATTTGCATTGTTGCATTAAGTTCAAGGCACAGTTTTATAGTTTTGGTTTGGTTTTTTTTTATAAAGAAAAGGATACAAAAATACACTACTGAAAAGGCAAATATGAAAAATAAGATTAAATCCGGTATACTCAAATGTCCATTGTCAGGTATCTTCTGGGCATAGACCAGAAATTAGTATAACATTGTCCACTCCAATTTCTCCAGTTTTTCCCTTCCCACGTTCTGATTCAAAAGTGACCTGTCACAAAAAAAGACATGTGTTAGCAGGGAAAATATAGATTATCCAAACATTTAGCAACTCTTAATGTTAATTAATTATGAGTCTGTATCTGAGGAATATTTTTCACAATACAGGACTTAATGACTTAAATCCCTGCTGTTTTTAGAGCTTCCATGTATTATTGGAACTATATTTAAAATTCTCTGTGCAGATTTAAAATACCAAATGGATTACTTTAATAAGATTATTTATTTTCATTGTACAACGAAAATGCAAATTGAGTGAAATCCTCTTATAATAATGTAGTTTTATCACAGTATGTGATGTTAATGCACTTCATTTATTGAAGACATTGCAACTGTTCATTTTCAATCTATTTGGATCCTCTGGCTTTTTGTGTATATACTATATATATTTACTCTCATGTGTATTCAGTGTAGTATGTATACAAAATAGAGAGAGGAGGTTCATTTTTATGAATAGAATGTCTGGGGCTTTACTTTATAGTCTGTTTCTGATTTATGTGAGGGCTTTTCTACGCCATTCCAGCTGTGCAAAGGACCTTGAAAGGGCTTGCATTTCCTTTATACCCACAGTAATCAATTATACAGTAGAAGCCTTTGCAGAGCACTGAAAACATTCAGTCACATAAATGGAAAGCAGGCCCCAGAATTTCAAGGAGAAACTTTCTGAAGTCCTGAGGGAGACAGTTTTCAGGCATACACCAGTGCACAGTATTCCCTGTTGGTTGGTATGTCCTCCTTCTGAGGTGATTGCCCACCCTCGATTGTACATGATGTCTCCTTTTGCTCTAATGGTTTAGCTTAGTGTGGTTTGAGAGCATCCTCTTCTATGAAAGAGAAATTTTCATTTTTCCAGGCATGTGTGTATGCTTCTGGTGCACGAGATATTAAGAAGAGATTTTGCTAACTTGTGTTAGTTTATGGTGTGATGCAGTTTTTTTACAAAATGACAGAATTACTGGCATCAGTGTTCTAATCAACTGTGTAATTCAGTTCTGAAATTACAACCAGGTGATAACTTCTGTGCCTCCTAAAATGTGGGCTCCTGTTTCCCATTTCAGATAAGCCTTTCAATTGCTGATGCCTGTAAAACAGTTGGTGGAACACTTGAGGATTAAGAAATTAAACTGTTGTGTCGATTATGGCAATTGGCTTATAAATTCTGTTATACTTACACTGTTAGTTGTCTCAGCTCCCTGAAATATCTCTATTTTTCCAGTTCTCCACCTCTCATCTTTTCCTGTGTTCTGCTCCCAGACAGGAGCAGTTTTTTTGTTTGCCAGGAACACTCGAAGTTTCCCCACTTTCTCACCAGCAAGCCGATAACTGAAAATCAAGCAGTAGCTACTCTTTGGTTTCAGGTCAGTGAGAAGAAGTTTTAGACGCCCCATATCCTTCTTGTGCCCCACAAAAGCTGGAACTGCCATGTAGTACCCATCACCTTGTAAAAAAAAAAAAAAAAAAAAAAAGAGAAAGAAAAAAAAAGCTTCTTTATTGGGTTTGTGTTATTTATGAGCAAATTGAATACATCTCCACTAAGAAGATAAGGGGAAGCTAGTTTGCTTGAATAATTTAAACTCAGACTGGAGAAAAGCAGCAGGGAGTGTACTTTGCAAGGAACAAGCTTGTACAGTTGGAAGTCAGATCAGTTTACAGAGGAGATGAGTTCATATTTCACTGGTAATTACAGTCATTCTTCCTCGCACCATCTTTCTAAGGCAAAACCATCTGTTTTTCAAATGCAACAGCCTGAAACATACTGCTATGCCTCTGTGGTCAGATAATTTCAGTACTTGAGCGAGCTCAATACTCTCTCCACTGTCCTTTGTGAACTGATAGCTTATTCCCCAAGTCCTGTAGGACCAATGAAGTGACAGACACACACACAAAGTGACAAAGGAATAAGACATCTGAGCCCATAAATAAAGTCATAATCAGCAGATGTTAGTTCAGGGAGACAGAGTAAGGCCAGGATAAGGTCTTCCTGGAAGTGACAGTACAGAGAAGGGATTTTGGGAATTATGTGGAGCAGGATAGAAAGGATTAGTGAAGAAAGACTGGGATGGAAGGACTGTGAGGGAAGAGGGAGAGAATGTACATGTAGAAACTGGAGCAAGTGGCCTGCATGATCTGTAGGATCTGCTGGTCTCCACTGCAGCAACTTCTGCAACATTTCCTGGGTCACAGGGGAAGAGACATCCTTTTGAACAAATTCCTCCAGCCACACCTTTTTATGTACACCCATGGAGCAGTCACACATTGCACCCGTGGAGCTCTTTCTCAGATTCAAGCAGGCCTCCTCTTGGTACCTAATCAGGTATTGGTTGTTCTTGAATAGCATCTTGCCCTTGGCTCATTCTGAGGAATGCTGTCACTAGTTTGTCTTGCAGAGTTTAAGACTTCTGAGCAGTTATCCCAGTGATCTAAGCCATGTAAGTGACAACATTGCCACATCCATCTAAATTATGGATGTGTGATTAAATGACTTACCAATCTTGGAGAGACACAACATGTAGCTGATAAGGTTTCTATTACCTTGTACCTTGCAATTCTGAACAGTTATGTTCTAATAATTTTTCTTATATTTTGATCAATTTGTATTGAGATATGTTGCTGACTACCAGCTGCCACTGCATGTTTCAAAGAAACAATATCCACTCCCAGTATCCTCTGCCTCCTTTAATCTTTTGTAAAAATAACCCACTGATTGAAAAGCTAATTTTTGATTCCAATTCTGATTCCCCTCCCTTCTGCATTTTTTTGAGGGGGTAAGCCACCTCATCAAAGCTTAGGTAGAGGACAGATATTTAAATACCTCTATCACGATCAGCAGGATTCCAGTCAAAGTCATCATCAGCATCTTGTTTCCAGTCACAGACTCCTCGACTGAAGCTGCAATCAACTGAAAAAAATTGTCAGAGGTAAGAGAAATACTATATCATGGGTACTGTTAAAATAATTTGCTCATTATTCACACCACTATTAATGTACAGGTAATTCTAAAATTATCTATAATCTGAGTTCACATAGTCTTGACCTAGATTAAATTGCAAAAAAGCAAAACATTAGAATTCATGTAGTAATCCTTTCTTTAGCTCACAGGAAAGTCTGTTGTGTCTTTTTATTGCCAATCTCCCATCTGCACATGAGTTTATATGCTATGACTGCTGTATACTGAGTGTCTGCTGATCCCCAAGTATAGTTGGAGGTGTTAGTTTTGAACTCCAGTGTCAGAAATGATTTGGGATCTGGCAACTTTAGAGCTCTCCTCTCCGTTTGTTACACTAATGTAGTTGTAATCAGCTGAGATCAGCTCTGGTTCTATCCATTGAGAGAAGCTGGCCTCCCATGAGCAGAATTCCTTATGTCAGCACTTGATACTCCTACTACATGGAGCTGGGAATAGCCCAAATCAGTTTATCCTTAGAGGGTTCTGAAGGATGAACTGAAAAAGATTGTCACCCATAGCACACCACAGCCTTCGTGACTGTGCAGATGAAAAGCATTACATACACAAAGAAACACTCTGCAATGCAAGCATGACAGATCAGATTAAGAGTAATATGTCAGCCATCTGAGTCTCCTCAGAAAGATGCATCTGTCTTGTTCTATTAATGTATTTTATCATGAGACAAAGACATTCAGTACATGGCATTTAGAGAGCTCTGCTGTATAAATTGACTATTTCTGAGTATTTCTAAATAGGAAAAAAAGTCAGCCAGAACATCTGTCTATTTGGTTTGTTTAAGATTTGGAAGTATTTGTGGATTGTTTTTGGGTGAAACCCTCCTTGCCCTAAAAATAACCTCAGCTACAGCCAATCCCAGCACTTCAGCCCCTGCCCGCTCACTGGTACCTTCCCAGGAGTTTGCTACTGCCCTGTAAATGCATCAGCTCAATAAGATCCCTCAGTCCCTCCTTATGGATTCTGGGGTTTTTCCATGGTTCTCAAAAGCAGGTCCTTATTGTCAGCTTCATGATTCTGTCCATCACAGGGGAATCGGTTTCCCACCAGGAAAAGACCTCCAAGATCATCAAGTCCAACCTTCAAATGAACACCACCATATCAACTAGACCATAGCACCAAATGCCACATGGAGTCATTTCTTGAACACTTCCAGGGAGGGTGACTCCACCAACTCCCTGGGCAGCCTGACAACCCTTTTGGTGAAGAAATTCTTTATTCCTTTATGCTCTGCTTTGACCAGAGCTACACTGCAGTGTCTGTTATGGCTCCCAACAGGCAGTGAAGTTTTCTGCTTCAAAGTGCATGAAGCCATTTCCTAAGGCACAGCAGAAGCTTAAATTGTGTTTATAAATTGACAGGTCTTGGACCTTCTATGCTCCCCTGACTGATTTTGTAATGATTTTTTAATGTGAAAAAGAACATATCTTACGGTGATATCCATGAGACTTACTGATGAATAGGGAACTATCACAAATTCATGACCAGGCTGTGTAAGATTCAGGGTAAATATTTATTCAGTCTTGTGCAGGGGAAACTCCTACTGACTTCTGACAGAGGACCAGGAGTAAAACCAAGATATGGTAGACAGACATTGGCATATTATTGTGTGCTGTGGAACATATTCTCATTTTTTACACAATTGAAATTACTTTATTTTTTTATGACTATGAAATTATTCAAATGAAATTCAATTACAAGTCAAGTTCCAGTGTGGGGGAACTTTCTGTACTTGGCTTATAAACAGTTCTGTTTGGAAAAGGACACAAAACCAGCTTCTCGCATGGGAACTGGCAGAAGGGTTTGGCCAGATACTGTCTCTAACATGTTCACCAAATCCTTGGTTTGTGTTAAAGGCTTTTAAACTCATTCTGACTTGGCTGGTATAGGTTGTCATGAAAACATACAATACGCAAGAAACTAAATACTGTAGAAAAAAATAATCTACCTTCTTGCTCTGGTCTTGACACTGGAACTTTCCTCTGTGCCAGGTGAGGGCCAAAGGCAGCTGCTTCTTTCACTTTTGGAACTAGGGAAAACAACTTGTCAAGTACTGAGTCATCATAGGAACAGAAAATGGAACTTTATTTCTTTATACCAGATGCCATCATTTATTTAAATAAGTCAATGTATGTATTTTCCACTCCACTACCAAACTCCCTAACCCCAGTTAGATACTAACTCTGAATTTTAAAAATTAAATACCTGATCAGCTGTTGGGAAGGAAGGCTGTGGTGACTGCCCTTCCTCTTCCTCACCCTCTCTGCTACAGCTGATAAGCACAGACTGATGTTTTGATAACCAGACCCCATGGAAAGCCCTGAGCAAGTTATTTTGTAAAAATTGGTAGATGTGTCTTGTGCCAAACTGGAAGAGTCAGTACAGCCAATGAATGCTTGGTGCATTCTCCAAGACACTGGCCTGAAGGAGGTACTTACTCAAGAAGCATTATTTTTCAGCAACAGCATCAGAGACCAAGGGAAAACTTCTCCTGTCTGGTGAGGTACAAAGTTATAGAAGCTTACATACTCTTGTTTATGCTGAATAATACTCTGAAACACTAAGTATTTTAAAGTTCTGTGATTAAGCTTCTCTTGTACTATTTTAAGTGATTAATAGAGAAGTGCACTCACTAAAAATAATGACAGTCTCAACTTCTTTATGCATATCCTATGTAAGTAAATAATCACACCTGAGAGAAAAGGAAGATCTGCTTTCACTGGTAGAGGATTCTGTCCTTTGCAGACACATAAGCAGATGATACCTATGATATATTCATGCACACCTCTGAAAAAAGGAGGAGGTTAAATGTGTCATTTCAGAGGAGGAATGAGGGAAGATCCTCTGGATTACTGCCTACAGAAGGTGTTAGTGGAAAGTCCAAAAGACTGAAGTTCACTTTTCACCCACACCCTGTGGGCCTCTGTGTTAAGAAAAGCTCAAACTGCTTCAACAGTGCCAGATGATAGGAGCTATGGAAATTACTTTTCCCTACTCAGCATTGTATCATATATGCAAATGCCAAGTATTTTAAAAGTCATTACTTTCACATGCATGCACATTTGTTCAGAGGGGAGTTGTTTTCCCATGAGTTCAGCTGAACTAGTGCTTTCCATCTAAATACTCCAACATACAGTTGTAAACACATACTCAATTTTGAGAATATACTTGGAACCCAATGCAATCCAGAGCCTCCTAGCACCATAAAGGCTATACCATCTATTTAATCTTTCTTCTCCTTCAAAACTGTCAAAAATTGCTTTGTGTACACCAGTGAAATCACACTCTAACAAAGAAGCCCTGGAGGTATTTCCAGAGGTACTGAATTGAGCTGAGAAAGGAGACTCATGCAATCTTATGAGCTTTCTGATGAATTGCCAGGAGCGTGTCCTCTCTTGTTGTCCTTGCAGCCTTCCCCTCACCCAGACCATTACTTAAATCACTTGGATAATATTCTTACTCAAGGCAAGGATTAATATAGCATTTTCCAATTAATATATGTCTACATATACACATTTAGGAATAGGCACATGGAGATTAGGTGTTAAGTTTACTGTCATGCCATAAACTTGGCCTCATACTTATTGAAAGAGACTCAGGCTGTGAAAATCCTTGCCAAAATGAAGAGAGCTATTAAAATATGATCAGTTCTGGAAAAAGTGATTTAACAGAAGACAACAGCTGCCAGTATGATTTATATGTGAAGTTATTGAATTACACTTGAATTCACTTGAGGGATATACATCCAGGTGTAGCTATGTGCTATCAAGCGAAGAACTGTCATGCACAGAAAAAGAGTCCAGTTTTGTATCCAAATCTATTTTTGTTTTCTGTCAGGCATGACAGTCAAGTTTTCCACTTACTGAAAGATATCAGCTGCTTATTGTGAGAAACTGTAAGTTTCAGCTAAGAGAAAGGCTTCCAAGAAACCTTACTGCTTGGAAAGTGCCTACATTTTACATCAAACCATCATCACACATAGCCAGGATACAAAGTTTACTCCCTCGTAAGTAGTAGGCAGGAGTCAGGATTACTCTTTTTAGCTCTTCTGCTGTCAAGTGGTCTTGTAGAAGGGCAGGCCTCATCCCATGTTCCCTAAGAACATACTCTCACCAATGAAAGTGCACATAGTCCCACTTTAGGCACAGCAGAGTCTGTCCTTTCTGTACTGCTGATGCCCTCCCATCTACTTACCTGCAGCACTAGCTGCTGTGAAATCTCTACATATAAACCCCTTCGTATGTTGGTGCACACATTCTTAACCATTGATGTCATCATGATACTCTTACCAGGTAAGATGGGTTGATCTTCAGAGCAGGAATTAGTGGCAATACCCATGTAACACACTACCATGAAATTCTACAGGAATTGTGTCTGTGAATGTCTGTGACAAGCTGAGCATAAATAAATTGGAGATTTTCTGGTTCTGAAAACAGCCACCTCATTGCTGACACAGGTTCTTGCATCTGCAGGAAATTCAGTGTTGCTACCTGCAACATATATCTGAGTATTGCCCTTGTTCTTAGGAGGGAGAATCTCTTTGAGCCATGTCAGGTGGAGTTTGTCAAGTGTATTATACATCAGGAAGTGCAGCAGGGAAGGAGACTTTCTGCTCCATAGAAAGCCCCAGCCAGGTCTACCTGGCTGAAGGTACTTCCCTAAAAAATGGTGAGACTTGCATAAAAAACTCTGAACTACTGAAACTGTTTGCAATCATGGAAACACTTCTTAGCAAATAACCTAAGAAAATGAGAGAGTAGGGCTGAAAAGAAGCATTGAGACATTATTCTAGTGTAAACATGACTGAAGAGAGTGCCACAAAGGGGATTTAGAAACAAATTTATACATGAAATTAGAATTCCATTTTAAAAACACCAGACTTACAGGGAGCACTGCACATACTGAAATAAATAAGGTTTGAAGGCCACCTCCCGTCTGAGGACCTTAATATAGTGAAGTAAAGAAAGAGACTGCCACTAGAAGATATAGAAAAAGAGACAGTTAGATTCAAGCACATCCTTTTATACAGTTGCACAGCAGTGCCCTCCTAGAAATGCAGGCAGATACCAGTTCACTCTCCCTGTCAAACAGAGTTGTTAGTACTCATCTGCCAGTTGTGCCAACTTGGAGCACAAAAGTTCTTTGGAGTTGGGTTGCATCTGGCTTGCTTTTGTGTGCTCAGGGCTGTCTGAAAAGTGCCACATAGATAGAACCTCAAGTCAGTCTGTAAGTCAAATAAGGGCCAATGAGATCACAAGAGCAATAGGAAGTTTCAGGAGCACATCTGGAAAAGCAGTGCTTGGAGTAAACTACAACATTTAAAGGTTCAAAGTAAAGAAAAAAAAAACCAAAAAAACCCCCGAACCAAAATTGAACCCCATACCACAACGAGCAGAAGCTCAGTAGAACAGGTCTTTGGAGCACTGTTTTATGGACACCCCTGAGAAAACAGTACAAAAGCACTGTTAAGCATCTGGGAAGTGACTGATGCTAAAGGAGCTCTCTGAAAACACTGATAGATTTTCCTTTCTGTGGACTTGGTTTCACCTCTCCGCTTTGCCAAGTGTTGTATATAAAGTTACTTATAGTGCATTTGGAAATGGTATTTTAATCTGAAAAAATATGGCTTTGTTTATAGCCTGGAAGTAATTTTCTATTTGTCTGCAGTAATGCATGTGCTATCCTTAAAGCTTTGATCCCTTTTTTTTTACCCCATTATTGTGACTGTATTTTTTTATAAAGCATCTGTGGCATCACATTGAACTCTTGCTGAGGCAGCTATACTGGAAGAGCAGATATATAGCAGAATATAAGCACCCATGTATTTAAGTGTGCTAGCTGTGGGCAATGTGGTATATTTTTATTTCTTGTTACTTCTGTTTGATTTTTCTTTCCCCTGGAAAATGCTGGTGTCTGGTTCTGTCTAGGTAGTCTAGTTAGTCTAATGTAAAAATAACACACTGAATTTGGGAAAAGTAACTAATCTTGGTAATTCTAACACATATGATCTAAAGTGCCTGAAACTGCAGCATGTAGGAACTCTCACAAAAATGCTACTTCCTGTGTTTCTAACACTGTTCTCTAATGTTCAAAGCTCATTAAAAACAAACAAACAAAACAAAAACAAAACAAAACAAAGAAAAAACCAGCCCCCCTAAAGAAAAAAATGAAAACAAACAAAAAAACCCACAAACAAACAAACAAAAACAAAACAGAAAACCAGAGTGAGCACTGTAAAAAAAACAAGTAGACTGTAAGAAGTAGTAAATTTAAGACTCACTTCCTATATATATAGTGTATCACTATGTCAGACTCAAAGGAATATACCATATCTGTGCTACCACGTCCTGCTCTGAAATAATTACATTTGCCAGGTGTCCAACATCTATAGCTCTGGACTGAGCTGTGGTCTGAGCATTGTAGCTCACAGAGTGGTGTAATTATCAGAAAAGAATAAGATTAAGAACAGACATCATGATTAACTGAGAGAGAGCTTTTGTTCAAAATTAAGAACCCCAAAATCATAAGGGAAACAGTGCACTTTTAGTATTGCCAAATAAACCAGAACCCAAAATCTCTTGATGCTACCAAAGTAAATGTCTCTGTAATAACATGTCTGGTTACATGATACTACAGGAGTTACACGATATGAGTTTCGTAAACTGATAAAGTAGAGAATATAGAATTTAGTTGCAGTTGGCAATACCATTCTAGATTACCAATGGTACCTGAAAAGCACTGAAATGTTAGAAGCTGTCAGAATTAAGGTTGTGCTTAATTGATTAATTAAGTGTAGCTTGAGTGTAGCATCTCTACAATCATTGCTTGTACAACCAAGTACTTTGGTCCAACTCTCTGTGTCTTCTTCCATGTGCAGAAAGGACATTTCTCACAGAGTAAGGAGCTTTCCAATACTTTGGTTTACTCTAATCTTCTATATATATGCAAATTTTGCAATCAATAGGACATATTTATGTAACTATTTAATATTAAGAATTAATAATAAAAATAATATGGATAAATTATTAGTCTATTGATAAATAAATATTCCTATTTATTAAACTGCACCTTTCACAACAAGACAGATCATTCCTCCTCACTGAACAAGGTAAAGATCCCATGGAATATAGTCATTTGAAGTCATTACAGACTGTATCATAAGATAAAAAGATAAGGAAAAAATTTTCATGGATGTCCTTAATTTTGATATTTCTTAAATGTTGGGGGCTTCACTGTGATGTCTTTAACTATTGTAGTTTGGTTTTTTAAGTAGTGAGTAGCAATTTTGATGAAGGTTCAGTATTTTGATAGCTGGCCTATTTTAATAATTTCCATCTCTGTAAAATAATTTCTTTATTTCCCTACAGTATTTTTCTGTGACTCCCTATACACTTAATATGTAGTAAAACTACTATGATAAAATAATAGGTCAATTTAAAAATAAAAATTAAGATCTCTGAAAAGTGCGACCTATCTATTTTTCCTAATTAACTATTCCTCCTGGAAGACAAAGAATACCTATATTAATAATACAAGAGGCAGATGCTATGTGAATACTTGAGGGGATTATATGGAGGAACTTAATGTGGTAGTAAAGGAATTTGCTGAATAGACACCAGCAAAGAAGGGAAAAAACATGATGTACAAATTTACGAGCTGTAAATTTGAGCTAACGATGTAGTCCAAAGGATCATTCAATATCATTAAAAATTAAAGTGGTTTTGAAGCCAAATGTTCAAACAATTAAGTGCCTAAATCATGACTGAATTTTTATTAATAACAAGGATCAATTATAGCACATGGAAATTTAAAAGGAAAGGAAACACAGTTAACAAGCTACCTATCTTAAAATGAAAATGCAAATGCCACAATGCCTGAAGTCCTAGAATCACAGCTGGCATCAAACAAGAAAGTCATAAATAATACAGAGTTCACATACTTAATGAAACTACATCTTGGACATACTTGCTATCTCTATGTCACAGAGCACACTGACTTTCTGCCAGTATCCCCTGGCAAAATAAAATCTCTCTAGCATGGCTTTAAACTGAAAGAGGGTAAGTTTAGAGTAGATATTAGGAAGAAATTCTTAATTGTGAGGGTGGTAAGACAATAGAAAAGGTTGCCTAGAGAAGTTCTGGATGGGCCATTCCTGGAAGTGTTCAAGGCCAGGTTGGATGGGGCTTTGAACAACATGGTCTAACAGGTGGCCCTGCCTGTGGCAGGGGGATTGTAACTAGCCCAGCCATTACCTATGATTCTATGGTTCATTTTCTACAAGTAAATTCTGCTAAAGTGTCTATGATGTTTTGTGATGGTTTTGTTAGTGTTTATATATTTTTATATTGAAGCCAGATTTTTTTAAAAACAAAGAAACTTACAAAAGACATCTCCTCTCAGGCTTTGCTCATCATCGATTTGATTCTCAAAATCTGCCTTCTCCTCTTCATCAGACTCTTCTGCTTCATCTTCTGTAGTAGCTTCAATTTCTTTCTCTTCCTCACTGTAGCTCCCACCAAGATCCGTACCACCTTCATAGTCCAATAACTGCAAGTGGGTCTTAGAAGGCGGTGTCACAGCTGCTTCTGGGATGGCATTCTTGATTTTTTCATGCTTTTTCACACTATTTTTATGTGCAAGAAGTTTCTTAATTGTGTCCTTAGCTGTTCCAGGGATTCTTGCAATTTCCTTCACTGACTTTTCAGGGATAACTAGAACCAAGAAGAAAATAGTAAATATCCATCTAAGGAACCATCCAGCATTTTTAAATGGGACCATGGTGTCCTTTACAATGTCTAGAGACATACAGCTAAATTCTCTACTATAAGTTCAGCTCTGCACAGAACCAAACACACATGCTCGTGTTCAGCTCTCTGTCTGAGTTACAGTGAAAAAAACCAAAGTGATCCTCTGTCATGAGTGCTTTGGACTCCTGTGTAACAAAGGCCATGCTGCCCCTTACATTAATTATTTTTACAGTGAAGCTTAGGTAAAAAAAAAGAAAAATAAATCCTGCTTCAACTTGTGAACTACTAAAAATTGTATGTGCAGCTGAGATTCCCTGCACAACTGTCAGCCTACTAGTAATGAACAATTTTCTTAGCTATCTTTTGTGAACTTTTCTGGCCTACTTTTCCTTCCATAACGGGCTGAAAGCCACTGAAATGGAGCATATTTTGAGAAGACATGCATCAAGCTGCTCCGTCATATTTCATTTAGCTCTAAGGGCTATTTAGATGTAAGGGGTAAACCCCAAAATTCAGAGAGGCATCCAGGAATGCCAAATTATTATGGTCTTGCAATTCCAAGATGGAGTAGAACATAAATGTAAAATTTCCTCAGATTTTTACTATTTTATGATTCCTCTTGGCCATGAAATTCTCTAGGTTATCCTTTTGATAATCTGGTATTATCCTTTTAATTATCCTGGTATTATCATTTTGTGTAATACTAACTATCTTTTTGAATAACCATTCTTGTAGTATCTTGCAGCTTTGGATCCTGCTTAAAAACACAAGGGCTGCCAGAGGTGAAAACTAAAGAGTAGGATAAAAGTCAATCAAGATTCTTCAAATCTGCAAAACAAAAGAAAATTTTGAATTTGGAGTTTTACCTATTATGAAGTATAATGAAGTCAGTATAGTCTATATTCAGGCACAAACTTCAAAACATTAATTGGTAAGAGGACATTTTTACATTTACATGGCAACTCTGATTTTCTAATCAGGCTTTCCTTGTCAATGTATTGAGTTTCAGGACACAAGCCATTTATTTCTTTTAGAATTCAAATTTTTTCTCTCTACAATCATTAAACTATGTTTGGATGCTTGAATGTGGGAGGTTTTTCATAGGAATGCATTTGAAGTTGAATTTCTAGGCATGTGGGGAGGCAGGATTGATTTTCCACCAGTGGTGGGACCTAGTAGCAGAACAAAGGGCTCCTTTGAGACTGTATGTTGGGCAGCTGTTCTCCATGTTCTCTTAAGATAGAAAAATTATCAGTTTACATGAAACAAGATATTTTAGTTACGTATTATGAAAAACTTGCTATAGGATAGTGAAACACAGGAGCAAGCCACTTAGGTTATTTGAACTGTATCACTAGAAGTTAAAAAATTGTTAGGCTACCATCTGTCATTAATATGTTGGATATGATCTACCTCAGAGCAAAAGAACAGGCTAACTGATCTTTTTTAGTCCCTTCCAGATGTACTCTTCTCTCATCTGACAAAGACTGATGGCTCTTTGTGCTGATGGCCAAATCACAACTGAGGGTTAAAGTGAGGACTACTTTGGATCAGTTTGTTCAAGGTATGTGTACAGTACAAATTCAAATGAGAATTTATGGCAATACTGCAGGTGTTGCCTTTTATCAGCAACATCAGTTACTGCTCAGCATCAGTTGAGAACACCACTGTGCCAAAACAAGACCTGGAAGGCTTTGTGTGACATGTATGCAAGTTTAAGAGAAGACATTAATCTGAGGAGTTCTAGTTTGTAAGATGATCACATCCCATTATAAGGTTTCCATTAGACCTAATCAAATCCTTATTCTGTCATAGTACCAGAGCTACTAAGGAGGAACATATCCTTGGGGTTTAAAGTCCAAGGCAATGGACTTTGGGGCTCAAGACAATGAGGCTTTTGAAACAACTCAGAATGAAACAACTGCTATGACATGACCAACTCAGTCCTCTAGCATAGCCTGAATTTGAGTGGGTGAGGAAGAACTGGTGAGTAGGAAAGAATTAACGTGTCATAAGCTACTGACAGCCTTCTGTAGTTTGAGTCCTTTATGTGAAGTACCTAGGACACAATGAGAGTTGAGCAGTTCCTTGGTGCTGTACAAAAGCTCTTCCATAAAGAGAGACTATTTCTACCAGTGGGCCTTATATACTGCTTTCTGTCTTTAATTCTTGATCAGCATTGATGTTGCAGTACCTACAGTCTTTTTGGATTGAAAATGGTGGGGGAAGTCAGCTGTTTTTATTTCCCTCTGCTTTTGCTGTCTAGTGATTTTATTAACAGAACAAGAATATGTTCCTATTTTGCTCCTTAGTGTGTAATAGTGAAAACTTCATAGTAGTATTTTGGGACAGATGTACAGGACTTGTAACCTTGAGTAGTACTTTTTTTCTGTGTGTTTCTTTTCATAGAAGAGACATAGCAGAAGAAAAAACACCAGCTAATAAAACATAACTGTGGACTAGTAGGAAAAGGGGAAAGTTCCCTGAAATTATGTTCACTCCTGGAAAATGGAATCCTATCATTGTGAATTTGTCACGTTTTATTTATGGGAAGTGCAACTACATGCTATCTAGTATGTCAGGAACAGAATCAGACTCTCTTGGTGTGCTCATTGGAGCATTCAGGGATTTTTGGAAGTTGCAGTTGGAGTAAATGGATGCCAATAAAACTAAAAACTAAAGATTTTTTTTCTTTTCCTCTGGGTAAAGCTTGCAGCCTTGCTTGTCACATACTTGCAAGTAAACTCCTTGCTAATACTGCACTAAGTGTTCTCTAGAGGATGATGCCAGGAAGAATGTAAGGTTTTCTGGGTCTAAACTCACAATGTAGCAATAAAAATTAACAGGAAAGCTTAATTCCAAACAAATTTCCTCTTGACAATCAGTAACAAGAAACTGCATGCTGTTAATAAAGGCTATGGGGATTTTCAAGGCAGGGCTGACTGCTCAGCAGACCTGAACATCTGCATTTAGTTTCTGCTTTGAAGTCTTCCTTGTGAAATTATAAATTCTTACAGCTCAACATAATAACTTCTGTGGTGTCAGAAAACCGATCTCCCTGTATGTGCGTGCAGAAAATCAAATGATGGGAGTGACAAAAAGAGGGAGATGAAAATGTCTAAATTCCCATGTGCTTGCAGACTCCAGTTTGCTGCCGCACTATGAAAATCTGCTCATGGGGACAAAAGGGACGAGACAAGAAGCACATTTTAGGGTATGGCACTACTCCCCTTCTTATCTGCAGTCAGCTTTAGAGTAGCTGGAGATGTGTTTTTAAGGTATTTTATGTCTACACATACATTGCAGGAGGAATAATCCAGTGTAAGGATACCCCACCTTAAAGTCAGTCTGTTCTTTTAAATCCACTGCCTGTGGATTTGCCTGAATGAGCTCATCTTCCCTGGCAATCACCTGAGACAGTGATTCTTTGCCCCAGGACATGGAGATAAATGCAGAGGTGTTGGTCACAAATATTTGTGTATGTGACTGCATAGAGAATTTTGGAAAGTGAAAATAAATGTAGTGCATTTCATCTCAGCTCTTCCTTGTGTACCTTCCATCAGAAAGCATGCAGATAAATGCCTCCTGCTCCTACAGTTTGTGTTTATTGACCTAATATGAAAATATCTCAATTTTCAAAGGCATTTTCTTTCTTTGAATTAGAATTAAAGCAAGAGGTAGAAAAACAGAGGCAAGTGGTGTCTGAGGGATAAAAGTAAATCTTTTCTGTCATTGGTTGCTGTACAAGATTATAAAACCATAGAAATGGATTGGTGTAGGATGTCTAATGACCAAGTTGCGAAAGTTGAGTTGAAAAAAACAGAGAGCAGATGCCGACCCCTTGACTCCGTGCTGCATTGTATAGAGGGAAGTACTCAGGGGATGATAAAGGAGAGGGACAGACAGTGATCCATTTTCCTTCCACACACCCTGTGACCACAGCCAGTGCTGGCCAGGGCTCTGAGTGTACAGAGGATGCAGAAGGAGACAGCTTCCTCTGCACTCCAGCAGGCTCCCCACTGCTTCCACTTTCACACCCAGCAATATATTTAAAAATGTGGTGAGAGACAAGCCTAGGAGATTAGCTTACAAATCCTTTTGTAGCTCCCGTTGTGGCTTTGGAGAGGTGGTGAGGGACACAGACAACCCTTTACCATATTTAGGCAGAGCCTATAGATGTGAGTAAAGATTAGATCAGCACGACATAGTTTCAGAAATCTTTCTAAAAGTTCTCAACCTCTTTTAGACAGTCTTCAGAGAGTCTGAAAGCTTTCATAGATAGGTTAAAACACAGACTGTGGACTATTATTCTCTTTTAAGCACCATGGAACATTATCTACATATCCCTACCCTGTTTCATGTCTTTTTATAGGGAGGGATACTTTGAGAAATTAGGGCAAGTTCATCACACTGGACTGTGCTTAATACTTGATTACACCAGCCGGTAATGCTTCCAGTAGGAAATGTGTGATGACAAAAGCCTAAGTGTTATTCATTAAAGGATAGCAGCAGTATTTGACTTCATACTGAATTGAACTGTAAGAATATCATCAGTGATATGACCACAATTACTTCTTAAGCTTTGAAACTTTATTGTGTCAAACTCAATGTTTCTCAGGACTGGCAAGTTAATAAGAAAGCAAAATCATATATAGGGTTTGAGAGTTACCCTATCAGCAAAAAATGAGTGAGTAATACAAGAGGCACAGAGAGAGCTGGCATGAAATTGTATTGACATTTAGATATCCAGCAAAACATAATGAAGAGTAGTAACCCCTGCCTCCAGCCCAGCAATAACAAGAGTGTCATTGTTGAGCTCCTTAGAGTGATGCCTGAAGGTTGTAGACAAAGTTAGTAATCCTTTTTCCTGTTATTTTGTTGTACCATAAAAGTGAATCAGAAATAGGTTCATTTTTTCCACAGGAATCTTAACTGGTTATGGAACCTTGTGAGACTCTATTCTTAAATAGAAGCTGAAATACATATAGTAGTATGTGGCAGGGGAAATGTGGTTTTTCAATGCACAATAGGAAATCAGGAAACACATGAACCTGAGAAGAGCAACAGATTGCAGCAAGAGGGAGGCCAGATGTGAAAATGGTTAGGACCTTTTTAGGGATCATTCAAAACATTACATCTCTATGGATTCTCAAATGAAATGTGGGCTAGGGACAGTTCAGAAGCAGCCTCTAGTGTTTCATGCATATTAGGAGTGTTAAATGGCAAAAGGGTGCCTGAACAATCACAAGTCATATCCATGCCAGCAGTAGTATTTGCTGTCTGATGTTTCAGCAGCTTTTTCCTAAGTTATTATATTGACATGCAAATTGAATGAAAGAATTTACCCCACCTTGTGTGCAAAGGTGAATTATATATTATCTCACTTATTCAGTTATTTGGTGGCATGAGGAGATGTAGCCATAGGCGTTTCATTATAAACAATGTACTTAGCTATGCTTTTTCATTAAAATATTTTTCCTTTGTTATAAAAAGCAAATACTGCTGCCATGGTAGCCAGTATGTTATAAACTAGAGGCAATTGCTATAAAGTATTAATGCTTTCCTATGAAAACAGGATTGCAGCCCTGTGGGGATACTTATGTGGAGTACTGAGGACATATTTAAGAAGCCTTTTGTTTAACTGCAGCACAACCCTAGGCCCATCTGTTGAGAGCTGGGTTGGGACACAGGAGCTGTAGCCACTGTCACCAAAAGAAGTGTGAAGCCCCTTAAAAATCCTTAAGCCCCTAATGTCCCAGGATCATGCCCTCATCCTATTAAATCCAATAACAAAACTTTTGGCTTCAGTAAAGCCAAAGGTTTTCTACAATTGCCATATGACATGGAGAACACTCAGTGTTTCAGTGTACTGGTTGATACACTGGTACATCCAATTGGTGTTTGTGTTACTGTTTGAAAAACATTTTCCCCAATAGCAAGACACATGTCCTGTCCTCATCAGTTATACTGGTCAGACTTTTTTGAGGATTGCAGTAAAAATGAACTATTGAAACATTCAAGGCTAAAAGAATCTCCTCCTCTTCCCTTTAAATAAAAGGTGTATGTGGGGGAATGACCACCAGAGAAACCAGTCTCTCTTTAGCACCACTGATTTTCAGGTTTTACCTACCACTGACTCTAGTATTTTTCTCCTCCTCAATTGTTTCATATATCTTTCTAGCTAGACACTCATGTTTTGATCTTCTGCCTATGGCTGTGATTTCTCTCATTACTATGTGTTATTCCTCTATCCTTTCTCATAGTAAATCTCTTTTCCATTTAGTGTATTTTACTAAGTTTATGAATGCATGTCTCCTTCCTCTGCTAAGCAAATAATGGACTTCAGTAATTGGAAATATGACATTAGGAAGTAGTCAGAGAGAGGCAAACAACTAAGAAACATCAGTGAGAAGATAGGAATCACCTGACTTCAGGACTTATTTTTTTTACAGGGATAGACATTAAAAGCTGCCTCTCCACAAGCAAAAATATTTCCATTGTTCATATTTAAGCAATCATGCCTGTTGAATTTTTTCTGCTTGAGCAAAGAATGTTTTAAACATAGACTTAGCCAAAAAGAGATTGGAAATTGTCAGCATCTTAATAAAAAGAAAACCAGGTCATTTTGCTTGGAGATGTATTTCTTTAACATTTCATCAGTGGTACATTTTGTTTTAACAAAACCATATCATGATGTCTCATGTCAGCTTGCTGTGGTGTTCAGTCAGGTCTCAATCCCTCTTACTGCATCCTTCCATTGCAGTAAGATGCAGTGACGTATCACAAGGGATGTGGTCTAGCAAGGAAACTGGCTCATAACATTGAATTTGGGCAGAGGAACCTCCTAAACAGCTCTGCTGTGGCAATCTATGTCCAAACCAAACCTTTTGGTACCAGTCAGGTTTCTGATTGTTTATTTTTGTTCATTAGAAATCAACATCTTTTACTGGAAATAGAAATTTAACAAAATGGTTTGATACTTGGGGCTGTCCTGTGCTGGGCTGGGAGCTGGACTTTGATGATCCTAGTGGGTCCCTTCCAACTCAGAAAATTCTGTGATTCTGTGAAAATACTAACTTACCAATGTGTATTGAAAGTTTCAATGACTATCACAATGGGAGTAGGAACATGGATAAAAGAGGGTCTCATAGAACATCTGTAGCCATGAAATATAACCGTAATACATATCTGATCAAGGATTACTTTAAAAAAGCCCAGGAAGGTTTATATAGTATGTTGAGTTCATCTGCTATAGAAAAAAAGCTTTTAAAAAGTTTGTGCAGGGCTCAGATGTCCTCCCTAGGAAAACATTTCTAATGGTGTTGCAGGAGAAACCTCTACTGGGTTTAATAAAGGTATAAATAAAAAGGTTCATTTTAAATAGAAAGACAAGAACAGCCCTTCTTTCTTCCTTCTTGGAGGGTCATGTTCAGTTAGAACTGGGCAATTACATCTTTATAGGAAGTCTTCAATATTCAATAGAGAAACAAATGCAAAATTTTAAGGGAAAATAGTTTAACACAGAAGTCACAGCTTTTCTCCCTTTTCTCATTTTTTGCTAAGTTAGCCTGAAACTCTTCTGGAAGAAACTGCACAGCCCTCCAAAGGGCTACCCTTGGGAGTTTATGGAAAATTCACAGTATGTTTTTAAAGCTGTTTCTTCACGACAAATCCTCTTCTCTGTTCTACTTATAATTCCTAGAGATATATGAGACTTGGAGACTCATAGGCAAAATTAATTTGAACAACTTATAAATGTACTAACTGTGCTATGACTCCTACAATTAATATATTGGTTTTTTGAGCGGTCTTGCTTGGTTGGTATTGCAGCACTGTTCAGCATGACATTTCCAAGAAAATGCCTTAGAATGATCAATTGTTGGAGAAAAACAATACAGCAGTATTCCTGACATTCAGTGGTACTCACCAGCACAATCAAATCCAGTTCCTCGGTATCCCTGTTTACATTTGCACTTGAAGGACCCCTCAGTGTTGAGACACTCTGCATGGAGGTTACACCTGTGTGTGTTTGTCACACATTCATTCACATCTAGGGAGAGATATAGATGCTTTAGTGAAAACCCAAGGTTCACGACAGCTTGTTTGTGCCAGCCATCTGTTTCCAGGTATTGCGAGCACTAACGTCAGACCAAGACAGTCCAGCGACCACCAGGGGCAGAAGAATTCACAGTAGGAGAGAATGCTGTCAGCTCCACATGCACAACCACTGGGATATGCATCCATGGAAAATGTAGAGCATCTCAGTGAAGACGAAGTGAATGTAGTGATTTTCTGACTGAGAACAGGATTCAAGCTATAGGTTGAACACACTCTTCTATTAACAGAATGCAAAAGGCACCAAGAGAATGTGTGACATCAATTAAAAAACAGCTCACCAAAGCTTTCTCAGTCTTTCATTCACTGTAGAAGAAAAGTAATGGAAAGTAAACCTGAGTATGCCAAGATGTTATAAGATCTTTAATCTACTTCTCATATTCCAGCATACGTATAACGCTGTATGAAAAAAGTATAATCAGGAAAATTCAGTAGAAAGTACTATGGTCAACTCACAGCAAAATGTACAAACACCAAGAGTATTTGATTTTGTTCTCCTTTTTCCTTATTTTTCTCCATCACAAAGATGTTTCTGATTTCTCCCACGTGAGGGAGTCAAGCTGGTGCACAAATGTTTGTGCCACTGGCATTTTATCCAGATTACATCATTTTTAGCAGCTGACAGGTCCTCTCATAATGTAAGTCAGCAAACAGACAAGTAGCAGGAAGAGTGACTCAAAAATCTGGTATTTCTGAAAGTGAGATTGAGGTTTGCAGATAAAGTCCTGACTACTGAGACCGCTCCAGTTTTTCCCCCATCCACTTATATTGTATGAAAAAATATTTTTTCCAGTTTAAGACTCTCAGGGTTTGCAGACAACAAGAAATGCAAATTTAGGTCTCCAAATCTGCCTCACAATCTCACTTCCTCCCCTCAGTCAAAATCAGTCAAATATAAACAAAACACATGAATTCTCTTTTTTATGCACTTGTAGTAGTTCTAACCCTTCCAGGCCCTTGTGTTGTCAACAACTTGAGCAATGCTCCTGTGGCACCTGCTGCAGGAACTTATACTTTGCTGTTCTTCCATCGTTCAACCAATGGATTGAAACAGGAGTAAAGGTGATTTGACGTTTGTTTTGACACCTGAGCATGTCAAGATTACTTTTTGCCTGTATTTATTCTTGTTAAGGAGAAACTTTGGCATGCTATAGAGATCTGAAAAGTAATTGAAACCTACTATTTTCACCCATTTTTTTCCATTGTCTCCACTGTCCATCCAAATAACTTGTTTTAAAGTCATGAAGGCACTTGATTCACATTCCTCAATAATGACACACAAAAAAATAAAAAAAATAAAAAAAATTTGTTCATCACAGTTTGAAAGCCAAGACAACAAAAAATGGCTCTTTAACTAAGCCTGTACCCAAAGTGGCATTTATTTTAGTCAACTGTTGCTAGCTTACTACAAACTCTTGCACATCTTGACTCGGTACAATGAGGCCATTTTTAATCTCAAGTGCCAGTGGTTACATTTTTCATAAGGCTACAGAGAAAACCCAGAGAAAAATTCAAAGTGTCATCAAGAATACCCTTAGGGTGACATCTTTTATCCGTTTCTGAGGCAGTATCCTCAGGCTAGGCCATCATGCTTCAGGCGATGACAGGGAAGATGCAGGCTGTGGGGAAAAAAAACAACGAAGAAGGAAAATTCGTGGGCTAACTCTTACCTACACAGTCATAATGGCCACTGATGTATTTCAGTTCATAACCAAGCTGGCACTTGCAGTAGTAGCTTCCAAAGGTGTTGATGCATCTGCGGTTGTAAGAGCAGAGAGCTTTGCCAGTGGAGCATTCATCAATGTCTAGAGCAGAAGGGATGCTGGTCAGATCCATGAGAAGGTAAAATGGGAAAGCAAGAACTAGTTGGGATTTGCATGGGAATGGTTTGGTCTTGGCTATCACAAGTTGTTTAATAAATAACTCCTGTAACTTCATGCTTGGTGATGGTTTTTTGCTTTTGCATGTGTTCTTCTGAATGAAGCAGCAAAATGTGAACTAACTTCATGGAAGATTTTGAGACCTGGCACGGTAAAATCTAGGGTAACTGGCAGTGTGGGTTCTCCTCACTGGGGACGATGATTTGCCCTAAGGTCTTGGAGTAGGCTCAGGAGGAAGTACAAAAATTTCTTTATTTCCCAGAGAATGGAAATGTCAAAGAACAGTTTAAGACAAAGTTCCGGGAACAGGAAATCGAGAGCAGCAGCAGCTCTTCTACTGAACCTCTGCACCTCCCCTTGCTGGGCTAAGGCAAGACATATCACATTTTAGCACATAGTAGTGACTTTGAATGTAATTCATCATGCCACACTCCTGCCCTTTATGGCTTAGAACTGCTGTGATGCACTGCTGGACACCACGGTCAGTCTTTTTATAATTTCTACCATTTGTTTCCATGCTTAGGTGATCAAAGGGAAGTGGACGAGAATTCAAAAATATTTAAATAAACCTGGACAGCTTCCTGAAGACAAAACATTGTATTTAATGGCCTCATAGCAATAGGGAGAAACTGAATCTATTGATGACTCTAAATCATGTCAAAACATTCAATTATTTATTGGAGATGAGACTTATCAGAAGAATTACATGGCCAATAGTACAAGAACAGTTATTTAAAAAAAAAGCATGAAAACTTTACATCACACTCTGATTAACAAAAATTATTCAATCCAGCAAGGAGGATTAACTACTACTTAACTTTTGCCCAGAGTCTTATGGTTTCAGGAATCCTACAGAAAAGAGAGTGAGCTCTCTAAGCATACCAATGCACGTCCTTCCATTTGGTCCCAGCTGAAGGCCACCTGATGGACAGAGACACTGCACCTCCCCTTTGACTTCTTCACATCCATATTGGCAATTCACCATGGCACATGTCCTGGAACCTGAAAACAGTATTTCAAATAACAAAAAGCAAAATTCTAGGCTAGGATCACACACTTAAGTTAGATCTGGATGAACACAGAAATTAATCAGAACAACAAAATTCCATTCATTATAAATAAAACTGTCTATACATTAACACATTAACAATTCTGGAGTCCATGTGATAGATCTTACACTCCTGTCTACTTTGTTCTTTCCTTATCAGCCCTTATTCCTCTCTTTTTTGCTGATCCTAGTTCTGTGACTTTTTAATACCACCCTTTAGACTCAGAGAGAGAAATGGAAGAAATAAATATCCATTTCTCAAGGATGTCAGGGGCCTGCAGCTGCTGTCTGCCAGTAATACACACCATGGTTAGTAATGCAGTGGACGAACCTGAGATGTGATGCATGGCAGGGAAACCTTCCAGAAGCTCTGTCCCCTGGGCACCTTTGGTGGCAATTTCAGTCTCCTTGCCATAAGTGAGAGAGAGTAGTGGCTCTGGTTTTCAGACCTGCTCTACAGCTGCAGACCCTGCACTCCTGCAAGTATTTGCCAAGGCTGGGTACTTTTACAATTATTCTGATTGACTTGCCAGATGGGCACCCTGCCTGATGAACGGTTTTCTCCAAGATTTGGAGATCAAAGACTTTTAGAATTTATGGTTTTCTGTCATGTTCATGGGAAAGACTGTGCTGTACCCCATACAGCCAGGTCCTTTGGCTTAGAATACAGCTCTCAAGTAGGATGTTCCACTGCTCGGACAAACTGGCTTCCTTGTCCACCTGATGGATCTGCTCCAATCCAGTGAACACTATAAAGGACTGTCACCATGTTACCTGGGTTTTGTGAAATTCAAAACCAAAATACCTGTATGGAACTGCTCAGGTGAAGAAAAAAAGTATTTTCTACAAATGAAACTCGACCATTGAAAAACAAGATGCTTCCTCAGGTCTGAAAATCAGGTTGGCTAAAACAGTGGAATCCTTTCCATTTCATGCTGGCTTAAAGACAAAGAAGATAGGTAGAGATATCTATTTTCCCCAGAAGTTTAGATAAGCCTTAGTTCAAGGAACAAATGTTTGCAAGAAGCTGGCAGCAGCTGTGGGAGGTATATCAATACAGATAAAATGAATCAGTCATGGAGCACAGAGAGGTAAAGCAAGGAATAACAGCATGTAAAAAGTAGTCTGTATTGGTGCTTTGCTTGGATAGATTAATTTATCCTTACTCAGCAGATGAACTGGCAGGACTATGCACCGAGATTGTACTAGCTGTCCTTCATCTGAAGTAAAACTATCAAAGATTTTTATTCTAGAAGGATCAAAACTCCTCTGAATAGCAAAATACAAGTATGACCTAGTTTACTTTATCCAGGAACTACCAAATAGAAAAGCCTCTTTCAGCTGTGGCAGTACCAGAGAACTGGGGTAAAAACCCTATACTAAATAAGCTAAATCTGTTCATCACAAGAAGAAAATCTGCTGGAATTAAATGTGATTAGATGATTTTGGTGTGCCTGTTCCATCAGCTCTATTACTTACTTGCACATGTACCATCTGGCATAAGCATGTACCCGTTGAGACAATAGCACTTGTAGCTGCCATGTGTATTCATACATCTGTGCTCACAAGGACGTGGCTTCAGTCCACATTCGTTCAGATCTGCAGAAGTCATTGGAATTAAATGAGTGCTGGGTTTCTATACATATATTCATACATATAGGTGGATAATATTGCCTAATGCATTGGATTCCCCAGAGTAAAATCGTTTGGATGGAAAATGAGCCAGCCCCTTGCAAAATGAGAGTTTAGCAGACCATCTGGCTGAAAGACTGCTAGTAAAACCAACATACACAGACTTCTACACTTGAAAAACTAATGCAAACTCTGGCCACATCTGGCAGCTTGTTAGGAAGAAGTGGAGTGGTGGAGAGAGAATTTAGTTACTCTCTTTTGGGGAGTTATTTGTCTGGATTTCTCTGATTCTAGATGGAGATTTTAGCCCTCCCACTGACCTCTGTACTAGAAAGGCAAAAATGAGACTGAGAACAGCAAATGAGTTTAAGTGAAACAAAGACTTTTACTTTTGTTTTTCTGAGCTACACATTGGCACCAAGGTTATCAGTAGCAGAAATTAATACAATAAATAAATACAATAAAATTAAATACAATATATGATAAGACCAATCTCAAAAATCTCAAAATCCTGAGAATGAAAGCATCCTAAATCTTTCTCAAAATCCAAGATGTAAAGACTTTGCAGAAACTAACTCAATTTCAAATTTCCAATAGCTATTCTTCACAGGGAGAAAATGAGAATTCCAAAAAGTTTAATTTGTGCAGTATAGGGTGAGCAGTGTTCACAATAATATTTGGCCAATGGCAAGGGGACAAAAATCTCTGTTTGTGACTTCTGTGAACTGACATCTCTACCTCTTCTAGTGATGAGGAAACAGGCAGAATGCATTAACAGAATGCAGCAGCATATGCAGCCCTTTCAACATGTGCTGTGTTAAACAGAGCATAGGACCAATAATATATCTTCAGTAAAGATGCAGCTCTCCAGGCAAGCATTGAGTTTGTGTAGCTCTACTTCTAATGGGAGAAGTATCTGTTCTCATGCCTATGTACCCTGCAGACCACAGGGTCAGCCATTCGAAGCATAAACTTTGTGGAGGTGCAGAAGTGTTTGTTACAGCTCAGTCCAGGGAAGAAAGAGGTTTTCTATTTCTAAAAGACATTCTATTATTTAAATGTAGGGTGTGTTTGGAAAAGGGCAACCTATCTTCTTGCAAATCACCCTGGATTTTTGTGCTACTGTGGCTCCACTAAATAATCAAGACCCTCTTAACAAAGCAACTAGGGAGCAAACTGGAGAACAAAAGTTATTCTACTTAGGCCATACATTTTCAAAAGTGCTTATCTGCACCTATCTCACACAAAGCACTGACAGCATACACAGCTCTAAAAAAAAACCTATGGAGATAAGGCTAATTTGGCTCAGACTTGGTGGCAGACTAATACAGTCCCCTTATCTCTGTTATTTTAGTTAGCTCATGTTGAGCTTGCTCAGCAGGGCATTCTGTGTAAGGACAGACCAAAGCTACATCTCCAGTAAACTAAAAGTGGGTATGAGCATTCCTAGCTGCTGGAACATGACCACCTAAATGGCTATACTGTTGAAACAGCTCTTGGAGACTCTGGGAGACTTCTGGCCTGTGCCAGCAACCACTTTACTGAAAAAATCCTGGCTGTGCTTCAGAGGGTAGAAGAGCCCAGGGTCTAAGAGGCGATTTGCACATGTGGGTCCGTGTGGTGCTTCCACCATGCCTCAGACTCTGAACCTACTGCAAGTGGCACAGAACTGATCTGATTGCCTACAGAGGGCATTTCAAATGCAGATGGAGTTACTGCACAGAAAACACCTAAAAACTGAGGGCTTCTCTGTTGCTTTTTGATGACTTTTAAGCTGCCAAAAATTTTTGAGGTTAAACTTCTGGGTTTAAAGGCAGAAATTGTAAGTAATACCTACATAACTGTTACATGTAACCACAGCTGCTGTTTCCCTTTCCTCTCTAGTGTTACTAAGGAATTAACTTCTTTCCCTGTGAAAAACACCAAAAGTGCAAAAGATGGAGTTTTCTAAAATACTTAACAATATAGCTTTGTGATATATTGTTTGAAATATACTGTGTAATAAATGGGTTGTTTTGACTAAAAACAAGTGTGTTTAGCATATCAATGCAAAATTTTCGGTCAAAGGCTGCAGGAGCTTGGTAAGGTAGCAAGCACCTGCAGTTCACTCATCTGTGCTGCAGTAGGATGGACCCGCTCCTTTCATCTGATCCAACACAGGGGTCTCATATATTGGAACAGGAAAAAAAATTGAATTCTTACCTATGTGTTAACTGAAATATTTCCATGTTGAATTGCAAGTTTATGGAGGGAAAGTGGTGCATTTAAAGTTTCTGAAAATGCAATTCTAAAGACTCCCAATTCTGGTTCTCAGAAATACCATTCAGCATCTGCAAACAGCCCAGACAGCTTGATAAATTACATGTCTAGCATATAATTGCATGTCTTTCTGATTAGAAGGTTAGTTAAAAAAGAAACATGGATTGCTAGTTAAGAAAATAACATGGGTTCTGGAATTGACTGCCATCTCTTCTGATACTTTCCTATGTAATCTCTCCATGCCTTAATCCTCTGACTATAGACATGACAGTTTGCCCTTGTCATCAGCCCATAGGACATACACAATATGGGTTCAAACTTCTGTTTGCTGAAGGAGACTTAGGGCTTGCCTGGGATGCTGGAGATGTAAGAGCCTTAAACTCTTAAGTTCTTCTACGTAAACATGAAAATATCCTGGTTTACTATCTTGGAAGATGACACAAACCATAGTACAAGATAAGGAGACAGAAAATCAACAGTGCCTTCTGGAGCATATGCACTAACCTTGATTACAGGTTTTCCCTGTAAATCCAGGGAAACATTTGCATTTGTTTGGTCCCATGCACTCCCCATACTTGCAACCGTGTCCACAGGTAGCTGGTGGAGTCAGGCAGAGAAAGGAGAGAGAAAAAGTTAGAAATATTCTATTTGAAAACTTTTGCCCTGCTTAGTTGCCTAAAAACTTTTTGCATAAGTTCAACATCCTCCATACCTCTCCCTCTAGTCTGAGCATGGTAGCTACTGATCAGCACTTTCTATCTGCTTGAGAATAGTGATGCTAACATAAATTAAAAGAGTTTGTTTTTTTCCAGGTTTATAGAGACCTGGAAAAGAAGGGATTACTTTCAGGTCTCTCTCTCATACTTTTTCTGCCATGCTTACAACTCATATTTAGTAGTTTTGTACTCTTGCATTTTTCCTGTTTTTAAGAAGCCTATGTGAGAAGCAGCTGGCCAGCAGCTTGACTTGCTAGGCTTGGCATCTAGAGTAGGAAAGCGGCAACAAGACTCTCCTGCAGCCAAAGGAGACACATTATACTACAGCAGTTTTACAGTCTTGGACCTTCTGAGTTACAGCTGAGGAACGTGTCTATTCCATAGTGGAACATCCAGAGCACATCTGTCATGAGGCAACTGTTCTTACCACACATCCCAGTAAGTATAATTGCATCAGGTTTACAATAATTTGAGAGGGCTATGCTTAACCTGGATGGATTAAAAAGTAAAATTTTCTAACTCTCAGCCCTCTAGATCATCAATCAGAAATTAAACTGACTTTTATAAGGCTTATAAGGCTCTTAAAGTCAATATGATTGTCAACATGGGGGTTATGCAGGAAGAGCAAACAAGACATGCATTTAAATCAGGACTAGCTCTGTAAAAACAGTGAAAAAGTATGCACCAGGATGCACATCTTGATACCTTGTGTAATTAAGCTGATCTGCAAACTATAGGAAAGTCACAGTGTTAATTACTATATAGTAAAACGAATAATTAAAATTCATACTTCTGATTTCAAGTATCTTCCCTACATTTACAGAAGCATTCAGATGTACTGATCCACTAACTCCACAGACTGAGGCATTTTTCAACACTATTTCTATCCCTGAAGGCGACATGACACACTGCAAGACCAGCTTGTTCCCCTGGGATCCCATGCATCCTTGCTTGGCATGGTCTCCCATGGGATGGACACATTCTGCAGCTGTAATGAGGAGATCCAAGACTGGAAAAGAGCAGCTTGCAGTGTTAGCACTGAAGCAGAGAACACTGCATCTGGATTTACAATGCAGAATTACATTATAGGTGGCTTAAAGTAATTTGCCAAAGAAGAGTCTTCAAAGTTTATGAAAACCTATTGCTTTAAAACAATACAACCTACTCCACTGGCTGATCAGAGCTGTATTTGTCACCTGTCCCTCTAGCTATTCATTTGCATCAAAACTAAGGTGTTATTAAGCAATGCAGAAATATGAAAATAATCCCTTTTTTCTTTTTTAAAATGATGTTTTATATATATAAAGCAGAGACATTTTATGATTTTCAGCAGTGAATAACCCTAAGTCTCTATACAAATTCACCAGATACAAAATGCCAAACCCTCTGGGACAACAGGTGCAACATCTGAAAAAGATTTCTAAAACATATATTTTATGATTTTGTTGTGTTTTGCACAAGTCCAGTTGAAGAGAAAGATTCCACATTGCCTTCTCCTTGGGATCTGTAGACCTTTTACAAATTAGAAATGTCTTAAGAGCCATTGTCTCTTCATTAAGCCAATGATCCTCAGACCAGAACGCTGGCTGGCTACCCAGGCCTGGGTGCACTTATTTCTTGAGTTTTATTTATGTTTTCAGAAAGTTAAAACCTCCTGGTTCTCAGAGGCTGTGTACTCTGAAGATAAAGGATACCACCTGACAGAAAACTATTTTAGGGGTCCTTACGTAGCATTGGAAAACACTGTGGTTTTAGCACATTCTCAACAGCTGTAAGAGTATAGGCACTGACCAGGGCTGTGCAGGAGACTGGAACAGACGGTCCCATCTGGATCTAAAAATCTCTGCATATGCAGTTGATGGCTTTTTATTATTTACCCAAAGCTCTGGATTTTTTTAGGAGATGGTCTTTCAAATATGTTTTATTCACTCTTTCACAGAGTTAAGAAATTTCACTCCTCAGAAGGTTTATTTCTGTAACTTTTGGCAGACATATATGAAACCCCTTTATCAGTACCAAGTACACAGCCATGGAGAGGAAACAAGCATAAAGTTAATGTTACCTTCGCAGTGGCCCTTGTTCTTTTTCCAGCCATAACAGCAATCCAACCTGGAACCATAGCGACACACCCCAGGCTGGCTCACAGCCACCAGCTGCCCACGAGCTCTCAAGCTGCATAAGGAAGGACAAACAGCAGCTTCATCAGGCAAACGCATTTTAGTTCATTCCTCTGTGTACTCCATTGCACATTTCTCTTATGTTTTATCCCCTGTCAGGCATTTTCATTTCACAAAACCTAGAGCAGTGTTCCTAGAGAGGAATGCAAAGTCACATTTGATCGGAGAAACAGGGGAGCTGGGAACGTTTCACCTGCAATAAATTAACTGTGCAACATAAACCCTTTCTAATAAGAAACATGGCAAAGGCAAAAAATACAGCCAGGTCCCCTGCTAGTATGAGTCATTTTTAATATCAGTGAAGTCAATGGGGCTGCCTCGGTTTGTGCCACATGAACAACCTGGATCGAATATACGATGCCGCACCTGACAGAGCTTTTGCTTTGGATGATGAAATATTGATTCTACAGAAATGCATGTTCTGAACATCAGGCAGCCCCATAAAAGATAGTGACTTGCAGGTCATAGTCACTGCACACATGCAAATTGATTGCATAAGTGCAGACAGTCTTGAGCGTTCTGGTTGCACAGGGCTGCCTGACCATAGTGTTGGTTTCACCTGCCGATAAGCCAAGGGAGTTCAAAGTCACTGCAGATCAACAACTGCAAGAGTTGGAAAACCTGCCATGTTAGTTGCCAAAATCATACATCTGATGCAATTCCACAACTGTGTAAATCTTCTAGACCTACTCTGTGCTGCAACTAGTACTGTGGATTTAGTTGTCTTCTCCCTCTCTTTGCTGCTACTTAAGTTCTCCGATGCCACATGCCTGTCCCCTTCATGAAATTCCTTTTCCAAAATCCTGTGTCCTCACTGCTTTTTCCAATCCATAATTTAAAATGCGCATTCTTCAAAGAGTCCAAAGTGTTGGTTTTGACACAGAACACACCTTATTGGTGGCAGCTTTATAGTAAGTGATTTGAGGTACTGAGGGGGCAATACACAAAAAATATCTCATGGTGGGAAAAAGAAAGATGGAGAAAAGTAATCAGGCATGAACTTTTGCATTTTTTAGTCTGAGGCACAGTAAAGCCATTGCTTTATCACATTACAGTAGCGCTTTGCACTTATCCAGTGCTTATCTGTAAGGGTTGCACTCATATCAGAACCCTTACTGTAAACATCACTGAGGTAAACTAATAAAACAAATATATCCATAAACTTCAAAGTACAATATGTTACACCAGCATTTTCTTTAGTAGTTGAACCATTGAAAAGAGAAGGGAGTTCAGAGGAAATGCTCATGTACCTGAGATACTCTGAATGAAGAGATGGTCTTCATGTCGCTGGACAAGTAAAAAAGCCTCAGTGTTGGACTAAATTGTTCTGAAGTCATCCAACCTTTGCCATCAACCCAGTGATGCAGTTTACAGGAGTACATGCACCTCATCTTCAGACAGGTGAAAAAGTGTATTAAATAGTTATAACTCCTCTGTGTGCATCTGTGAGAAATCAGCACCCTGCCTCTGCATATATAGACAAAAAAATAACTTTTTTCCATTTTGTTCATCCAAATGCTGCTGGCTTAAATCACTTGCAAGTATACAAGTTAAAGAACATATGTTCTGTTTGCAGGCTAGAAAGTGCCCTTGAATTTACCTGAATAGTAAATGTACATTCTGCTTCCATCCCAGAAAATCCTCTGAAAGGCATCTGGATAGTGCTATGACTACCCTGAAAGGTTAAAATGCCTAAAGCTTGGAGCAAGAAGGATCTCATTCCTTTCCAAAAGGTGCTCATTTTCACAGGAAAAAACTTCATTCAGTAATGTTTTATTTAGTAATTCACTTCAAAATCAAATGACAGCGTCTTTATAAAGTATACAATATATCTCAAGATTTTAGCACAAACTTCTCTTAAAACTGGGAAATGTTTCCTAAAACTGCAAATGAAATTAACATAGCTGTACTCTATAGATACCACCCTGGACAAGGTCTTTCTTGTGTTCTGATTTTCACAGCAAGCGCCAAGTTAAAACTTACCTTTGGCAGTGGGAAAGATCAACTAGGCTTTTGAGAGCCCACCTGGATCCCAAAATCTGGGAGGAAAACCAGTTTTGCCAGTTTAGTCCCTCTAAACCATGAAGAATCAACATCCGTCAGCTCTGCCATTACTGTCAGGAGTTCAGTATTTTGTGCAAAAGAAAGAAATTTAGAAAGAGGAGATTCAGGCAGGCAGATCCTTTCTGGGAAAAAGGATCCAGATCCCTTCTGGATATTGGGGGAGAAGTAATGTAGACTGGAAGCACAGGGCACTTCTGATCCCTCCCTGCAAGATATTCTTGTAGGATTTCAGAGGCCTGAGTGTGATGGCTGGGTTTGTCACTGTCTGCTCAGTGTGCAAAAAATTCCTGGCCTTGAAGAACCTGCAGCCCAAATACACAACTCAAGAAGAAGGGCAAGAGAAGGTAGACTGTGCAGGTCAGTGGCAAGAGTGGTCTCTGAATTTCTAGTGAAGAACTCTGTCCTCTGAGTGTCAGCAGCTTACAGCACTGGTGCTAAAGGTAACAAGTGGCATACTTAGCTGTCCAGAGTGCCCAGGCAGGAGAGATTTTATATGGCTCTGTTGCTGCTGACATCAGTAGGGTGGTATTTAGCAAAGAACAGTGAAGATGAATAGCAACTACAGCAATCCAAGGCCTCCTTGTTTGAGGTGACAGAAAGCTGGC